AGAAAGACACGGATGCAAAGTAAAATTCTCGAGAATCGGACATCGCTTTGAGGCGATAAAGAAACTCACTGTGTCAGACGATCTCCATTCGATAAAATACTTCCCCTACACTTTCGTTCCGATAAAAATACCGAATGCTCGTCACTCGAAAACATTTGAAATCAATTTTCTATGAATCGATTGTAAAAAATTTGCTCCCCTGCTATTCTTAACCGTTGATTAATCGTTTTGCGTTTGCGTTCTCGTTCGAGAAATTATACATCAATCTTTTTCGATCCGTGGAGAAAAATCGAGAAAAATCTAAACCTTAAAGCCTGTACCATCCATCTATCTCGTCCCCCATTGATCCATACGCTAATAATCCGCCCGGTTACTCAATCTTATCGCCTCTCATTGATACGCTCGAGGATACCGTCTCGTTCCCTCGACACTTTGCCCCAGTTACTCGTGCAATGCGTCGAGCTTGAAAGAGACAGAGAGATAACGGCATGCGGGAGAAAGCGCGTGTATGTATGCATCAACGACGTATGTATGCACGGTTTATTGATTTATCGTTGTAGCGCGTTGCGTGTCACATATGCAGGGCTGCGAAGGGGCTGCGGTTAATTCGTAAATTAGACGCCGTCGAGTCAATGTTACGCGGAAAATGGACTCGTTTCTTGGATATGATAAAAAAAAGGAGAGAACGATTTATTTACGACGAAGGGGGGATCGATCGAAGTTCATTTAATTCGTTTCGGTTTTAATCAATTAACTGTTCGCGAATACGAACACGAAACATTTTTATTCGAACTTAACGAGAATTAGAGTTTTAACGGGAAGAAGGCAGAGAAATCGGCTCTAAAAGAGAAAAAGAAAAGAGTGGAAATATTGAATTGATTTATCGATCTTATATCTCGTCGATGTAAGGAATAATATTTATTAATTGAGAATCGAGTAGTAGAAAGTGATGACGCAGGTATAAATTATGTTATTCGTACGATGCAAGGCCAATCAGCTGATCGAACGTCAATTAAAATTTCGCGTGAAGCAAAAGTTGTACTTTCTTCGAACGAAATCTCTCTTATTTTTAATACACTCGATACCATTCGTTCGATTTCATTCTCTTTCCAGCTTTTCCAAAATACGGGCACAGAACACCTTTGAACAGAAATTTTGTCCCGCAACTTGTGAAAGATCGTTGGCAAAAAGCAACGTTCGGTATGGTATGGCCGCGTGAAACGTATCATGGCTCTTAACTCCTAATCCCGGGCCGAAAATAGCCGGATTTCGAACCGTTACCTTCGCACACAAATCCGAGAGTAATTTTTTTTATCCGTGTTCCTCGTGGCCAAACGACGAGGATGATCTTTAATCTGCGAGATAGAAAGGCCAGATTGAATGCAACGGTGGAAAAGTACCAGGGGGAAATTGTTTCCCGAAATTTTGTCCCGACGGTGGGTGGACCGCCCTTTCGATTTACGAGCGCAATGTTCCCTCTTTGATTTGTTTCGCTGGATCTTCTCTGCTGGTGGAGAAAGCGTGCCAATGTTTCGGATAAGCGTTCGTGGAAAATGCTTTCGATATGCTTGTGTCCCTTCTTCTTTTTCGCGTGTAATTTCAATTTCGAAGAAATTAATTAATCGAAAATTATATATTTCGAAAATATTCGTGAATCTTGAAACTTTTTGTAACTCGAAACTCTCCGAATTTTGAATATCCATTACTGTTTCCTTTTCTTTTTTAGAAGTATCGTTTTGCTACGATTTTAATCCTTTGCACGTATTCTCATTTCTGTTTCCTTGATATATCTCCTCGAGAGAGTGCAAAAGATTAATAAATTATATCTCCAATAAAAATGTACGATTTCGAATAGGTTTAGAAATTAATCTAATATATGGAAACGATGTGTATCTGCGGTTGAGCAAAGAGAAGATGGCAGATTTCAAGCCATTGATCGATTTCGAGGATAGATTCGACGAGCAGGCGTTAAATTATATCGCGAATTGGCGCACAAACATTGCGTAATGCTGCATAATAATTGAAACGGCGCAGGTCTCTCCTTCCGAGTTGGCGGCGTCAATAAACAATAAAACGGGAGCAATGGAGAATTGAATGTTTCATATATCGAAATTTATTCTTGCTTAAACGCGCTCCTCTTCTTTTCGTTCCTGAATTTTTAAGATCGCCGCATGTTTAACAACGCGAGAACGAACAAATATCGGTGGGATTTCAATGGTATATTCATGTCTTTGTACGATAGAATTCCATTTACACGGAGTTCGTGTAATTGTTCCCTTCGCTCGTTGTAATTTTCAAATAAACAGAATTTAGATTACGAGATATAATGGTAGATCATAATGGATTATACACAGAGCGTATTTTTCACTAGCGTATGAGTTTTGTCCTTTCAACATGCTGTTTCTGTGAAAAGAAAAAAATATCTTTCAATCGAAATTGCAGGAAAAATGTCGACGTGATTCTTCGTCGAGGGATCGATATTCAAGATATAGATCTTTACAATCGACCGTACGTGAATTTAACACGATTCCTCGAATCACGCGGCTCATCATTCTATTTACGTCGTTGTATTTATAATATTTTCATTCGTAGCAGAGACGTATGATTCGAGAGACGTATGATGCTCACAACCAATCCGGATAATAGGAGCTCTCGGCTGGAGTTCGCTTAATTACGAAAATTTCGTTCCGTTGAATGGAGTTCGGCTGAATGGAATTCTATTGTACATATTTTAATTAGAACGCGTCCATTTAACGACAACAGCAACTCTTCCATATCCTCTCGATAGTGGCACGAATAATAATTATTATTAACTAGGTGTTTGTTCAATTTCATTTTATTGCAAAATACGTATGCCTCCCTCGTATATAAACAACTTGTTACTTTGTTTATTGCTGATGCGTGACGTTAAATGCGCAATAACACTTGGACGCTGCTGGAATACGCCAATACCGGGCCACTGATTATCATCCCCTTCCTGCGTTGCCCGCTTTTAATATTCGACGATCTAACCCTCCCCTCCCCAAACCATCCAAAGTCTTCTCCCCTTCACTCTTCTTCCCTGCCCTCCCCCACCATTCGATTTCGTTTTTAAACTGGAAAAATTCCTACGATTTTTTTTTTTTTCTTATTTTAATAATTACGTGTTATTACGTGTTGCGTGTTCGCCATTCTTACCTTCTTATTTTTTTTAAATCGATAAAATTGGAAAAAAAGACGGTTTAAAACGATTAAACCGTAAATCGCGCCTATTTATAATAGGAAACATGCTTTTATTTGTCCAAATTTCACTCTCGTTCTCCTTACTCGCTTCGAGATCCTCGTCCCTCCCGATGTGCGCGTGTAAAAATCGAAACAGAGGCGAGAGAAATCGTTTTCTCTCTCTCTCTCTCTCTCTTCTTTCATCACTTTTCATCCTCCTTGACACACGCGCGATTCTCTCTCTCTCTCTCTCTCTCTCTCTTTTCCAAGAAAACTTCGTATCCGATTACTCGCGCATCGGAAATTTCAAATACACGAGCCACGAATCGAAGAATAATTTCGAAATCGAGCGAAACTAGACGCGACAGAGGTGTCCTCTTTCTCGGTCACCCA